TGGTTTGGTACAATGCTACCACACACTCATTACACATCAACAACAAGGGTTTTGGTACTATACGACACACCATCATTACACATAACAACAGGGTTTGGTACTAATCTACCAACACCACATCATAGCCTCAACCACGTTTTGGTAGTAATACTACCACACACATCATTTACACAATCAACAACAGGTGTGGTACTAATACTACCACCACATCATTACACATCACAACAGGGTTTGGTACTAATACACCATCACAACATTACGAACATCAACAACAGGTTTTGTAAACTATACTAACTAACACACACATCATTACAACACATCAACAACAGGGGTTTGGTACTAATCTACTCACACAATCATTAGACTCACAACAGGGTTTGGTACTATACTAACCACGACATCATTACAACATCAAACAACCGGGTTGGTACTAATAAACCACAACACAAACAACATCATTACACATCAACACAGGGTTTGGTACTAATACTACCACACACATCATTACACATCAACAACAGGTTTGGTACTATACTACCACACAAATCATTACACATCAACAACAGGGTTTGGTACTAAGACTAACCAACAACATCATTACACATCAAACCATGGGTTGGTACTATACTACCACACACATCATACACATCAACAACAGGGTTTTTGTACTAAGACTAACCACACACATCTTACAACAAAACATCAACAACAGGTTGGTACTATACCAAACCAACCCACATCATTACACATCACACCGGTGTGGTACTCAATACACCACACATCATTACACATCAACAACAGGGTTTGGAGGATCCTATACTAACACACATCATTAGACATCACCACAGGGTTTTGGTACTAATAGACCACAATCATTACACATCAACAACATGGTTTGGTACTATACTACCCCCTCATTACACATCAACAACAGGGTTGTGGTACTAAAACTACCACACACATCATTACACATCCAACAGTCAGGTTTTGGTACAATACTACCACCCATCATTACCATCAACAACAGGTTTGGGTACTAATACTACCACACACATCATTTATACTCAACAACAGGGTTTGGTACTAGCAACATACCACACCCTCAATTACACATCACAACACAGGGTTTTGGGTACTAATACTACCACACATCATTTACACGTCACAACAGGGTTTGGTACTAATATACCACATATCAACAACAGGTTTGGTATTTCTAATACTACACACACTCATACACATCAACATCAGGGTTTTTGGTACTAATACGGTACCCCACATCATTACCCTCAACACAGGGTTTGGTACTAATACTACCACACACATCATTACACAATCAACACAGGGTTTGGTACTATAATACTACCCACAACTCATTACACAATCAACAACAAGGGTTTTGGTACTAATAGCTACCACACACATCATTACACACCACACAGGGTTTTGGAACTACATTACCACACATCATTACCATCAACAACAGGGTGTGTAACACTACTACCACACACATCATTGACATCAACACCAGGGTTTTGGTACTAACACTACCACATCACATCATTACACATACCACCAGGTTTTGGTACTATACTACACACACATCATTACACTCACAACAAGGGTTGGTACTATACTAACCCACACATCAACAAATCAGGGTTTGGTCTAATAAACCTCTACCACCACATCATTCACTAAACAACGGTTTGGTACTAATACGACAACACTCATTACAACCATCAACAACAGGGTTTGGTAACATACTACCACACATCATTAGACAACACCAACAGGGTTTGGTACTACTACTACCAACATCATTACCATCACAACATGGTTTGTGGTACTAATATACCACACATCATTACACCCATCACCAACAGGGTTTGGTACTATACTACCACAACCAATTCATTACACACAACATCAGGGTTTGTACTACTACTAAACCGACACTCATTACACAATCAACAACAGGTTTTACTAATACACCACCGCACCTCATTATACACATCAACAAACATACAAGGGTTTTGGTACTAACACTCCACACCATCCATTACCCCTCACAACAGGTTTGGTACTAATACTACCACACATCTTACACATCAACAACAGGGTTTGGTACTAACTACACATATCAACAACATGGTTTTGGTACTACTACTATACTAAGCTACCACCCATCATTACACATCAACATCATGGTTTGGTACTAATACTGAACTATCCAATACTACCGAACACATATTACACATCAACAACAGGTTTGTACTAATACTACCACACACACAAAATCATTACACATCAACAACAGGTTTGGTACACTAATACTACCACACACATCATACACAATCAACAACAGGGTTTGGTGGTAGCTAATCTCCACAACATCATTACACATCAACAACAGTGTTTGGAACAACAATTACCACACTCATTACCCTCACAACAGGGTGTGGTACTAATACTTACCACCCATCATTAGCACATCAACACCATGTTTGGTACTAACTACCACACACATCATTACTACAACACATCAAAAACAACAGGTTTTGTTACTAATACTACCCACACCCAGATCATTACAACAATCAACAAAAACAGGGGTTGGTACTATCTAACCACCCCATCAACAACAGGGTTGGTACTAATATACCACACATCCTCGATTACACATAAACCACAGGGTTTGGACTAATACTACCACACATCATTACACATCAAACACCAGGGTTTTGTACTACTGCTACCACACACTCTTACACATCACAACAGGGTTGAGGTACTAATACGAACCACACATCATTACACATAAACACTGGTTTGGTACTAATACTAAATACTCCACACACATCAATTAAGACATCAACACAGGGTTTGGACTAAAACTGCCACAACAACCATCATTACACTCAACAACAGGGTGTGGTACTAATACCCACACCTATCATTACCATCAACAACAGGTTTTGGTTACTAATACTACCCACACATCATAACACATCAACAACAGTGTTTGGTACTAATACAACCACAACAAACACTACATCATTACACAATCAACCAGGGGTTTGGTACTATCCTACCACACATCCATTAGACAATCACCAACAGGTTTTGGTAACTAATACTTACCACACATCATTACACATCCGAACAACAGGGTTTGGTACTAATACTACCAACACCCATCATTACACATCAACAACAGGGTTTGGTACTAATACTACCCACACCCATCATTACACAATCAACAACAGGGTTTTTTTGGTAACTAATACTACCACACATCATTACACATCAAACAAACAGGGTTTGGTACTAATACTACCAACACACTCATTAGCAACATCAACAACAGGGTTTGGTCTATACTACCACACACATCATTACCACATCAACACAGGGTTTGGGTACTAATACTACCGACACAATCATGACACTCAACCCGGGCTTTGGGTACTAATACCACCACACACATCATTACACATCAACAACCGGGTGTGGTACTAATACTACCACACATCATTACACATCAACAACAGGGTTTGGTACTAATACTACCACACATCATTAGACATCACCAACAGGGTTTGGTACTAATACTACCACACATCATTACACATCAACAACATGGTTTGGTACTAATACTACCACACATCATTACACATCAACAACAGGGTTTGGTACTAATACTACCACACACATCATTACACATCAACATCAGGGTTTGGTACTAATACTACCACACATCATTACACATCAACAACAGGGTTTGGTACTAATACTACCACACACATCATTATACATCAACAACAGGGTTTGGTACTAACACTACCACACACATCATTACACATCAACAACAGGGTTTGGTACTAATACTACCACACATCATTACACATCAACAACAGGGTTTGGTACTAATACTACCACATATCAACAACAGGGTTTGGTACTAATACTACCACACATCATTACACATCAACATCAGGGTTTGGTACTAATACTACCACACATCATTACACATCAACAACAGGGTTTGGTACTAATACTACCACACACATCATTACACATCAACAACAGGGTTTGGTACTAATACTACCACACACATCATTACACATCAACAACAGGGTTTGGTACTAATACTACCACACACATCATTACACATCAACAACAGGGTTTGGAACTAACATTACCACACATCATTACACATCAACAACAGGGTGTGGTACTAATACTACCACACACATCATTAGACATCAACACCAGGGTTTGGTACTAACACTACCACACACATCATTACACATCAACAACAGGGTTTGGTACTAATACTACCACACATCATTACACATCAACAACAGGGGTTGGTACTAATACTACCACACATCAACAACAGGGTTTGGTACTAATACTACCACACACATCATTACACATAAACAACAGGGTTTGGTACTAATACTACCACACATCATTACACATCAACAACAGGGTTTGGTACTAATGCTACCACACACATCATTACACATCAACAACAGGGTTTGGTACTAATACTACCACACATCATTACACATAAACAACAGGGTTTGGTACTAATACTACCACACACATCATTAGACATCAACAACAGGGTTTGGTACTAATACTACCACACACATCATTACACATCAACAACAGGGTGTGGTACTAATACTACCACACACATCATTACACATCAACAACAGGGTTTGGTACTAATACTACCACACATCATTACACATCAACAACAGGGTTTGGTACTAATACTACCACACACATCATTACACATCAACAACAGGGTGTGGTACTAATACTACCACACACATCATTACACATCAACAACAGGGTTTGGTACTAATACTACCACACAGCAGTGGAGTGTATCATAATAAACACTATCCTTTTGTATTGTTGTCTCAAAGCCTTTGGTTAAAACATATACTATACGTTAAAACATGAATGACTCCAGTGTTTCATGTCTAAATAATATTATGTTGTGTTACTCACTAGGGACGTGAACCATTGTCTCCTTCTTCTCATTGATCCGGCTCTGTTGGACTCTGCAGGTAAAGTGGTTGGCGTCAGTCTCCTGGACAATGACATGTTGTTTGACTGTGTAGAATCCCTTGAAGTCTCTGTGTGTCTCAGGAGGTCCAGCAGAGAGATGGACTCCTTTACTGTCCAGCCACACCAGCTCAGGCTCAGGGTGCCAGCCTTCAGATTCACACAGCAGACCCATCCCTCCCTCTCTGTGTCCCTCAATGGACACCACTGGCTTGGATCCTATAGCTACAGACACACAGATAGACTGGATGTTAACTGGTGACAGGCTGTGAACAAATAGACCCATACTGTATCCAGTAATATGAAGGAAAGAGGTGATGTCATTGTACTGTAGATAGATTATTACATTAACATGAAAATCAACCTCACCTTTAACGCGGACTTGAATAGTGAAATCATCATACCAGCTCAGTGCCTTAATAAAGCATTTGTAAGTTCCCTCATCAGTGCCTTGTACCCTGGTCAGTTTCAAAGAGGCATTGCCCCTCCACAGATCCTCTTTAAACAGTGAAGTTCTTTCTCTATAGGAGGGAATCTGATCCTCTTGTATGATTCTGTGGTTTTGGTAACGATAGACACGCTCGTCTTTGAAGTCGAGGTTCAGCCAGTCCACTGTCATCTCCTCAGCACTGATGTTGGGTTTGATGTAACAGGGCAGAATGATGTCATCACCAGCCACAGCCAAAATGGGATCAGTTGGACCAAGGACCTTAAACCTCTCTGAAGAGAAGACAGACATTAAGGAGCATTTAGGACATTACCCATTACTAAAGAGACACAGACAGTCAAATGGAATTCATAGAAATGTGCCATTCAAAACATCCAAAGATCTAAGTAATAATGCACACACACGAACACACACACACACACACACACACACAAACACACAAACACACAAACACACACACACACACACACACAAACACACACACACACACACACAAAAAGGAAGCACTAGTTGCTGCATGAGTCACACACACAGAGGGAATTAGCACTGTAGTTACCAGACTCAGAGGGAATTAGCACTGTAGTTACCAGACTCAGAGGGAATTAGCACTGTAGTTACCAGACTCAGAAGGAATTAGCACTGTAGTTACCAGACTCAGAAGGAATTAGCACTGTAGTTACCAGACTCAGAGGGAATTAGCACTGTAGTTACCAGACTCAGAGGGAATTAGCACTGTAGTTACCAGACAGAGGGAATTAGCACTGTAGTTACCAGACTCAGAGGGAATTAGCACTGTAGTTACCAGACTCAGAGGGAATTAGCACTGTAGTTACCAGACACAGAGGGAATTAGCACTGTAGTTACCAGACTCAGAGGGAATTAGCACTGTAGTTACCAGACTCAGAGGGAATTAGCACTGTAGTTACCAGACTCAGAGGGAATTAGCACTGTAGTTACCAGACTCAGAAGGAATTAGCACTGTAGTTACCAGACTCAGAGTGTGAACTGTGGAGGAGAAGCAGGAGGGTCACAAACAGACTGTCTGGTCCAGTCTCCATTATTCCTGAAAGAGACAATTGGTCTAACAAATAAATATAAATTATAAAGATCAGAACCAGATATCAATAGACCTTCAGTAGCTTACTATGGCTCCTTTCAGTTAAAACCAATAGACCTTCAGTAGCTTACTATGGCTCCTTTCAGTTAAAACCAATAGATTAGACTATAGTCTGACTGAATATTGGTAGTGTAAAAACTATTGGTCGCTAAATCCGGAGAAATGACGGACCATGTAAAAAACTGTTGGTCACTAAATCCGTCTAGAAGGACCATGTAAAAACAGTTGGCTGGTATGCCCTCACCCGTATGAGCTCTCTTTTAAAACACACATTGAAAAACTGCCCAAAAAGCTGAGAATTAGGATTTCTTTTATAGAAATAAATCCTGCTGGCATCCCAAGTGGCGCAGCGTTCTTAGGCACTGCATTTCAGTGCAGTACATGGCCCCGTCCATCGTCCCTTTGATGTGGTGAAGTTGTCCTGTCCCCTTAGCAGAAAAACATCCCCAAAGCATAATGTTTCCACCTCCATGTTTGACGGTGGGGATGGTGTTCTTGGGGTCATAGGCAGCATTCCTCCTCCTCTAAACACGGCGAGTTGAGTTGATGCCAAAGAGCTCGATTTTGGTCTCATCTGACCACAACACTTTCACCCAGTTCTCCTCTGAATCATTCAGATGTTCATTGGCAAACTTCAGACGGCCCTGTATATGTGCTTTCTTGAGCAGGGGGACCTTGTGGGCGCTGCAGGATTTCAGTCCTTCACGGCGTAGTGTGTTACCAATTGTTTTCTTGGTGACTATGGTCCCAGCTGCCTTGAGATCATTGACAAGATCCTCCCGTGTAGTTCTGGGCTGATTCCTCACCGTTCTAATGTTCATTGCAACTCCACGAGGTGAGATCTTGCATGGAGCCCCAGACCGAGGGAGATTGACAGTTCTTTTGTGTTTCTTCCATTTGCAAATAATCGCACCAACTGTTGTCACCTTCTCACCAAGCTGCTTGGCGATGGTCTTGTAGCCCATTCCAGCCTTGTGTAGGTCTACAATCTTGTCCCTGACATCCTTGGAGAGCTCTTTGGTCTTGGCCATGGTGGAGAGTTTGGAATCTGATTGATTGATTGCTTCTGTGGACAGGTGTCTTTTATACCGGTAACAAGTTGAGATTAGGAGCACTCCCTTTAAGAGTGTGCTCCTAATCTCAGCTCGTTACCTGTATAAAAGACACCTGGGAGCCAGAAATCTTTCTGATTGAGAGAGGGTCAAATACTTATTTCCCTCATTAAAATGCAAATCAATTTATAACATTTTTGACATGCGTTTTTCTGGATTTCTGTCTCTCACCGTTCAAATAAACCTACCATTAAAATTATAGACTGATCATTTCTTTGTCAGTGGGCAAACGTACAAAATCAGCAGGGGATCAAATACTTTTTTCCCTCACTGTACTTATAACTGATTGGTTTGGTTCTGTCCTCTATAGTGCTGTCCGGTTAGAACATGATGTTGAGGTCCATCACTGTACTCCTGATAGTCACCACCTCACAGACACAGCTGTTTCCATTTGAGGATGTTTAAATGATTTTGGTAATCTGAATGACTTGGAATCTTATTGTTGTGGTTCTATAAGACAAAGATATGCACACATGTAAACAGTATTAGTTAAGGGTTATAACTATACAATATTTAGGTGATAATGCCTGAGAAGCGGTGTTATCACTTTTATACAACGGGTTACCAACATATTCAAATAATGATTTACATATTTTCATTAAAAACGTTTTTTTTAAATTAATTTATTCATACTATTTCATCCTCCCACAAGATATAGTCCCGACACAAATCTAGGGTTGCTAGAGACGCGACCCAGTCGTTCAGTCTTTTTGTTCTGTATCTATGGACGCGACCCAGTCGTTCAGTCTTTTTGTTCTGTATCTATGGACGCGACCCAGTCGTTCAGTCTTTTTGTTCTGTATCTATGGACGCGACCCAGTCGTTCAGTCTTTTTGTTCTGTATCTATGGACGCGACCCAGTCGTTCAGTCTTTTTGTTCTGTATCTATGGACGCGACCCAGTCGTTCAGTCTTTTTGTTCTGTATATATGGACGCGACCCAGTTGTTCAGTCTTTTTGTTCAGTATCTATGGATGCGACCCAGTCGTTCAGTCTTTTTGTTCTGTATCTATGGACGCGACCCAGTCGTTCAGTCTTTTTGTTCTGTATCTATGGACGCGACCCAGTCGTTCAGTCTTTTTGTTCTGTATCTATTGACGCGACCCAGTCATTCAGTATTTTTGTTCTGTATCTATGGTCGTTTGTTCTAAATGTTCCATTGCCATACTGGCTGGCAACGTTCTTATCCCTTGCTTGCTAGCTAGGCAACTACGGCTAACTTAAAGTCACGTCAAAAAGTGCAGCCAGAATAACAGCAAAGGAGATGCATTTGCATTTGTTTAAGCTGTTTTCTAGTGACATTTATTTTGGATGCATCCATAACAATGAGCTAATGAGGCGCGATCTCGCCTGGCATAGAAAATGTGCTCTCTCGTCAAGACACTGTTGTTCAGAGCGGCTAGCCAAGAACACAGCTACAGTAAACACAATCACTTCAAACTGAAGCTGGAAAGACTGGTAATTAGCTGGGCTTCGTTGTACCTTTTTTCAAAAAAGATTTGTTGTTGTATATATCCATAAAAATGATGCCAGCTGATTTATGATTTCGACTGGCTGAGAAACGCTGCCTGCCTGTCTGTCTCGTCCCGACTCCCGACACGTTCATTACTATGGGACAGCAGGAGATCGAATGTCATTATTGGAACAATGTTGCAAATGTCGGAGAGACAGACAGCAAGGTTTATACAAATCTCCGCTGTTGAAAACTAAATGTTAGTCTACAAGAAATGTGAGATAATGTCTAGACGCTTTTTATAGTGGAGATCAAGTTTATACGTTGCCAGGCTGGGCTGATGAGACAGTGGATTGCGCAGTCAGATGGAACAGAGTAAATATACATTTTAACATCATAGATTTAGCCTGTGGCAACTTGTGGAATAGACACCGGCTGGAATGCAGTTTTAATCAATCAGCATTCAGGATTAGACCGGTTGGAATGCAGTTTTAACCAATCAGCATTCAGGATTAGACCCACCCATTGTATAAACATGTATGTACATGAATAAATGGCAAATGGCATTACACTTATAACAGGGTTATAAACACAGCATCAATATAAACATGAACTTAAACATTCACCTCTTGGAGAGAGAGAGAGACAAATGACTTGGATTGACAGTGTCAAGATGTATGGCACCCTCTCTCTCCAGCCTTGTGTGAGAATCTGCCAGGCTGAGATCTGATCAGATCTACCCTGTCGCCACAGGGAAGTAAACGAACCTCTCTCTCAACGTGATCAAGACAAAGGAGATGATTGTGAACTACAGGAAAAAGAAGAGGACCGAGCACGCCCCCATTCTCATCGACGGGGCTCTAGTGGAGCAGGTTGAGAGCTTCAAGTTCCAGTTTCAAACCGGTTACTCAACCCTGCACCTTAGAGGCTGCTGCCCCACATAGATATGGAATCACTGGTCCCTTTAATAATGGAACACTAGTCACTTTAATAATGTTTACATACTGCTTTACTCATTTCATTTGTATATACTGTATTATAAACTGGGTGGTTCGAGCCCTGAATGCTGATTGGCTGACACTGTGGTATATAAGACCCTATACCACAGGTATGACAAAACATTTATTTTTACTGTTCTAATTACGTTGTAAATCAGTTTATAATAGCAATAAGGCACCTCAGTTGCTTCATGCGTCAGAACAGCCCTTAGCCATGGTATATCGGCCATATATCACACCTCCTCTGGCCTTATTGCTTAATTTTATTCCACTGTATTTTAGTCAATTCCACTCCGACATTGCTCGTCCTAATATTTATATATTTCTTAATTCCATTACATTTACATGTAGGTCATTTAGCAGACGCTCTTATCCAGAGCGACTTACAAATTGGTGCATTCACCTTATAGCCAGTGGGATAACCACTTTACAATATGTTTTATTTATTTTTTATTTATTTTATTTTTTTCTTTGGGGTGGGGTGGGGTAAGGGGGGGTAGAAGGATTACTTTATCCTATCCCAGGTATTCCTTAAAGAGGTGGGGTTTCAAGTGTCTCCGGAAGGTGGTGAGCGACTCCGCTGTCCTGGCGTCGTGAGGGAGCTTGTTCCACCATTGGGGTGCCAGAGCAGCGAACAGTTTTGACTGAGCTGAGCGGGAACTGTGCTTCCGCAGAGGTAGGGGGGCCAGCAGGCCAGAGGTGGATGAACGCAATGCCCTCGTTTGGGTGTAGGGACTAGCCGGTGCCCCCGCACATTGACTCTGCAACGGTACCCCCCTGTATATATAGCCTCCCTACTGTCACTTTATTTTACTTCTGCTCTTTTTTTTCTCAACACTTTTTTTGTTGTTGTTTTATTTTTACTTTTTTTGTTTAAAATAAATGCACTGTTGGTTAAGGGCTGTAAGTAAGCATTTCACTGTAATGTCTGCACCTGTTGTATTCGGCGCATGTGACCAATAAAATTTGATTTGATTTGATTTGATCAGAGCCTGAAGGTACGGAGGTGCCGTTCCCCTCACAGCTCCGTAGGCAAGCACCATGGTCTTGTAGCAGATGCGAGCTTCAAGCCAGTGGAGTGTGCGGAGGAGCGGGGTGACTTGAGAAAACTTGGGAAGGTTGAACACCAGACGGGCTGCGCCATTCTGGATGAGTTGTAGGGGTTTAATGGCACAGGCAGGGAGCCCAGCCAACAGTGAGTTGCAGTAATCCAGACGGGAGATTATTTGACTTTTAGATTTGTGTGTATTGTTGTGAATTGTTAGATACTACTGCACTGTTGGAGCTAGGAACACAAGCACTTCGCTACACCCGCAATAACATCTGCTAAATATGTGTATGTGACCAATAAAATGTGATGTGACTGAAACTTATCAAAGTAACATGAAGTAATTAGAGGTAATTATCTATTACTACACAGCATGTAAAAAAAATCAATAACCCCCCCAACTTACATT